TGAAAATGAGAAGCTATCTTTGTCTTTGTGGCAGGAACTTCTCAGAAAATCTTTACAGTTAAAAGCATTCTCTCATTTAGTGCATTTTTCATACATCCCTTTTGTTGTTAGGAGTCAAAAATCCCTTTTGAGTAGGGGTGTACTGATAGAGATTTTGGGGGCCGATACCAATAGCCGATATTGGCTGATACTGATCCGATTTCCAATACACCAGCATGCAGCTGGTAAGTCTATTGTGGTGGAAGGGGAGGAGGGAAGGAAGGGGCATGGGGGGGCAGATCAACGTCCCGCTCAGTGAGGGAGGGGGCAGGCACTGCACAGCCAGGGTGAAGTGGGGTGTGGGATGGAGCTGCGGTTCATTGGTGGAGGGGGCAGGTCTCACCGCTGTGCACACCCCAGGAGGGTATGTGCCGCTGGATCTGTGCAGGGTTGCAGCTGTGGGCTGGAGCTGGGGCAGCGCTGGGCTCTTCTTGGCAGGGGCTGGGCTCAAGGTGGGCAGTGGTGGCACTGGGAGTGGGGCTATAGTGAAATCTGGGGTGGCCCCCTCCATAGGCCCCCTCCCAGTGCTGCTGCTGCCTGCACCAGGCCCGCAGCTGCAGCCTGCCTGCCCCATCCCACACAGATCCAAGGACACACACACCCCCATGCTCTCCTGGGGTGTGCACATCAGTTGGAGCATGCCCCCCTCCCCCCGCCCCCCAACATGCTGCAGCTCCGTCCCACGCCTGTGCCACTTGGGCTGGGCAGCACCTGCCCCAGGTCCCTCTCTCCCTCACCGTGGGGGGCCATGATCTGTCCCCTCCCTCTCCTTGCCTCCCCACTCCCCTTCCACCACAATAGACTTACCAGCTGCACGCTGCTGACCTCTGCTCCTTGCTGCCTGTGTGCTGAGCTGTGGCTGCGTGCATGCCTGGGCATTTATTGGCCAAATTATCAGCCGCTTCAGGCCGATTTCTGATACAGACAATTTTCTTTATATTGGTACCAATCCGATATCAGACTCAGTGCACTTCTACTTTTGAGTGAATCTAAATACTCTTATTGCCTATATTAAAATTTTTTTTTAAAAGCTGAAAGGCCCTTAAACTTAAATGATTTCAAAAGTGATTTTTAAACCAGAATAGCTGTTAAGGGATAGTCTGTTCTTCATCTATGGAGAAGTGATTCTTGCTTACTTGCACTGCATAAACAATTGCATTAGCAGATATCTAATTAATTCTCCAATTAACATCAATTACTTTTATAATTCAGGGCTTCTTATTTTGATAACTTGTTATATCATCAAATTAATATATTATGTTTATATATAAAACAGCTTTACTATTTCCATAACAGTGATAACAGGTGACTGTTACATGAAGCTTGCTTTTAGCTGCAAAATATTTGCAAAAATACCCAAAAAATTAACAACATCTAGCATTCAAGGAATAAACAAAAGTGCATGTAAATGCAAGTGCATATTGAGATGTGACCAAAATTCTTCCCAACTACGCGTATTTTCTAAATTAAACAAGTATGACTCATATGCCTGTAAAATAAATTATTTTCTTTATTTCTATAACTTTGTGGGGGGTTGAAAGAAACGTATCTTTTTTTCCCTTGAGAGAACAGGGGATGAAAAAACCCATTTTTATGATGCACTTTTATTATGTCAAAAAGATATTTTGTATATGGGGAAGTGCCCTAGTTCTTTAAAAGACTGTTATATTTGCTGCGCCTTTCTGACCACATGGTCTTCACCATTTGCAGTACTTTTACAGCTTATATTTAAAGGCTTCTGTTAAATACTCTATGCAAAGTGTGAAGAGTTATATATAACATGGCAAATATGTATCATGTAACATAGTATAAAGAAAATACTACAGAATGTTAAACCATATATAAATGATAAAAATGCAGTGCAGAATTTGTGCTAAACTTGTAGGAGGAAAACTTTTAGTAAAAATAGTGTTGTGTTCCTTGATACTAAGGAAAGCTATCAGAAAACTGAATCATAGGGATAACTTTAATTTGAACATTTCATATAATTGCATAAGCAGAAATGTGAGCATATGAGCTACTTTCTTCCAGTATGTATGAATATGTGAAAGCAAGAGCAATTATTTCTAAAAAATAAGTGAAGATGCACCCAAGTTTATAATAACATGTTATTATGACAATAAATTATACTAATGTTGGTAAAAAATGTGTTAACTTTGCATTATCAACCTATATCATGTTATTGGAAAGATACAAGTAAAGGAACAGAAGACTGCTTTTAGTGATTGTGAAATGGGACACCCAAGTATGCTGTGTGACTGGTTAATGATTTGCAGAATGTGCTGTTGTAGATCACAAAGTTTTAAATCACTCAAATCCATTACCTTGATCAAACTAGGTCTTTATTTGCAAGTTCACTGTAGAAATTAACTTCTATTTCAAATTAGTCAGATCTGGAATATTTTTGTGAAGTTTAGAAGATACAAGTGCAAGTCTAGTACAAACAGGCAGAAGCTACTGAGACTTGAAACCTAATTTTAAAACATTAAATTACACAGAACTGTGTTTTCAACTTTTCATTATGTTGCATTCATCTACTGCTAGTTTTTCAAGGGGTTAACTTACAAACTGTAATATAGTTGGTAATAACAGATGGAAAGACTGTCCCCTTGTGGATAGGACTGTGAGAAAAAATGATATTGTGTCTTTGGAGGTGGTTACACTGGGTACTTAAGGCTTCACTGAGGAATTCACTTGCATTATATACATCAAGTGCTGTTCCACATCCAGCCCTGCACGCACACAAATCTTAAACTTAAATATGAGAACACTTTTACCTGAAGTTGACTGGCTTGTCAGGGAATACAAGTTAAAGCTTGAATTAACAACTCATCAGCTGCTAACAGTCATTCTCTGCAGCAGCCCAATTACTCTGTGCAGCTGGAATATTGCTGCCCTCACTTGAGCTAGACTAACTCAAGAATAATGAATGCCAGTGTAGGTAACACCAGGTAACTGCAAAGAGACACCGTTAAGCAGGGTTCGAATTACACTATGACTCTTAGCAGGGTCTGTGGAGATGGCAGCTGGAAGGAGCTGCCACCGTTGCTGCCTGAGCTGCACTGGGCAGGCTGGGGGCTCTTGTCTCTTATGGGGGAGCTCCCCCCCCGGCTCCTCAAACCCTCCCATATTTCAAACATTGCCCTTAAGATACATTACAAAGTATGGTAATGTGTCCTTGTTTTCTGGTCCACATGTATACATGCACATATGTCAGCCCTGCTTTCCAGTAGTCGCAATGCAGAGCTATCATGACCCATACCCATATACCCACATCCATGCAGAGACTGCAGTTACATGGGTTTGATACCGGGATTGCTGGGAGGACTTATCCTAGGCTTCTCTGGTACTTTACTAAGTTGAGGCACCATAGGAATCAGCCTGTGCTGGATTGCAGAGGAACTTACTGTCTTTCCCAGGCCCTGTGTGAAGTGTTTTAATCCTGCCAAACCATTTAGCTGAGGCACTTCCTACTCTGCACACTCCTATGCTATGGACATAGCACACAAAGGTGAGATACTCCTGCCTCTGGATAACCTATTGCCATTCCTGAGACATAAGAGGCATTTCAACAGCAATTCTAGACTCGTGGAAGAGAGGAGTTTACTCATGACAGACAGAAGATACTTGTCCCTTGCTTCCTGCAACAGCTACAGATTCACCCAAAGTGCAGATGGTGGCTTTATATCACTATGCAGATGTTGGGTGACTAGCAGTGGCACCCAACGTAGCTTCTGCATGAGGAAGCACAAATGAGGTAGATGTGGAAGAGCCTAAAAATGAGCTCAGAATTTGCCCACCACAAGAAGCAAGTGAAATGTCAACTGCAAACTATATCATGCTGTAGGCCTTAGTAGACCAGGCCCATGCACACTGTGGGATAAAACCAGTATTTCTCAGAAGTTCGTCATAGACTGTGGGGTCTCTGAGGATGGTGGCAAGGACCTAGTTGATGGGACCTGTAAAGGGGGAATTATCAGACTGCCTATTGCTTTACTGTAGAGAATCTTTAGGCATTTGCTTTGCAACCCAAACTGCATACTAGTCTGATTGCTTTTCCCAAAGTCACGCTCCTTGCAATACTTGTGCTATGTGCTAACCAGAATCCTGCCTGACTCCTCCGGCCAGCTAAGAATAGGCTGAAGGATAAGCATCCTTTACTGGAATTTGATTGTGTTGGGCTAAAATGTGTAGAAACTGTAGTAGGGTATGTAGAAATAAAGGTTAACTATAAACCATCTAGTAGCTTGTGGTATAGAAGAGGCAAGTGGGAAATTAATTGATTAATTGTAGCCACTAGGAATTGTAGGATGGCCTCAAAAGTCATCTAGACACAAGCACAGCTACAAGCATAGTTCAAGGTGTGTTTACCTTAGATCTCCACACAAGCATGTGAGAATGGGTTCAACATGCACATAAGCCAGTGGCCAAAGGTTTTGTATCTGAGGAGTAACAAGTTTGGCTAATCACAGACAGCCTTCAGATATATCATTACTTAGATCAGAACTGTCTTAAAGTGTCAGCCAATAATACTTCACACCTGTGGTAAGTACATTCTCAAAACCTATTTTTATGTCACTGGCCACGTCTAGACAAGACGCTGGCTGTGCAGTTGTTACTGCACATGCATATGCAAGTACTAAATAACTGTGCGCAGTAACTGGCATTACTGCACAGTAGTGTTCCCAAATGGTGTTTTGATGATCCTGACTGCGCAGTAGCTCATTACTACTGCACAGTAGCATTGCATCACACTTCGTGCCACACAGTGCTACTGTGCAGTAGTAATGAGCTACTGCGCAGTCAGCATCATCAAAACGCTTCCTCAACCTCTGGCTTTTGCTTTTCCCAAAGTCCCAAATTAATTTCTCCCTGGCGGCAACCAGCCCCCCTCTGTATGAAAAAAGAAGAAGAGCTTCCTTGTGTCCCTTTGGGACTGACTGACTGCTTGTGCTGCCAACATGTCCCAGAAGCAGGGCAGCGGCTGCCAGGTGAGGGGGGCTCGGGCCGGGCCGGGCCGCGGACCAGGGGTAGTGCAGGACGGGCAGGGCTGCGCTGGGGGCCCGGCGTGGCCCCGACTAGAGCAGGTCCCCGCGTGCCGGCGTCCGCAGCAGTGCGCGCGGGGCGGGACCGCTACGAGTGAAGTAACGGGAGCGGAAACCCGGGCGGCGCGGCCGGAGGACGAGCCCGGCCCGCGCCCCGCCGCCTCCTACCTGCCCACCGTGGGTGAGTGCGGCTGCGCCCGCGTGTGCCCGCGCGCGCGTGCCCCTCTGCACACAGCCCGCCTGCCACACACCTCTGTGTGTGCCCCACTGCGCACATGGCCCGGCTGGTGTGTGTGTGCCCCACTGTGCACACGCCTGGCTGGTGCACGTGTGTGTGTGTGTGTGCGCGCCCCTCTGTGCACACAGCCCGGCCTGCACACACCTATAGATGTGCTCCATTCTGCACACAGCCAGCTATGTCCACGCCTCAAGGTGCATACACCTATCTGTGTACTCCATTGTGCACACAGCCAGGCCGGCAAACGCCGGTATCTGTGCCCCCACAGTGCACCTGGCTAAGCTAGCACACACCCTTGTTCGTGCCCCCATTGTGCACACAGCTGGGCTGGCTCATTCCTGTGTTTGTGCCCCCACTGTGCACACGGTGGGGCTAGCGTGCACCTATATCCATGCCCATTGTGCACGTGGCAGTGTTGGCATACAGCTCTCTCTGCCCTGCAGTGCACACGACCAGGCTGGTACACACCTGAGTCCATGACACTTTGTGCACATTGCTGGGCTGGCACACACCTGTATCCACACCCAATTGTGTACACTGCCTGGCTGCTGCACAGCTGTATCTGTGCCACGGTTGTGTACACAGTTGGGCTGGCACACTCCTATATATGTGCCCCATTGTGCACACAGGTGGGCTGGCATGCAGCTGTGTCCACACCCCGCTTGTGTACATGTCCGGGCTGGTGCACAGCTCTGCGCCCTGAAGTGCACAGGGTGGGGTTGGCACCTACCTGTGTCCACACCCCCATTGTACACACGGTGAGGCTGACAAAGTACACACGGCCAGACAGCTAAGCTGGCACACACCTGTGTTTACATCAGACCTCTCCTCCCAAAACAGATCCGATGTGTTTTCCTAGGTCCTTAGCAATAACTTCCTCTGCAAGTCATTCCCACTGAAACCAGCGTGAATAAGATAGTAGCATGTGAAATCTGCTGGCGCTGAGTCTTAAGATGGGATTTAAGGAAGATGAGCTTTGGTGACTCCATTTCATATTGGCAATAAAACTTGTCCTTCAGAGTCCTTTTCATACTCAGGTGGGTGGAATTTGTGTTGTGCCAAATCTGCTTGGGAACCAAAAGTTCCTCCATATTGCAAAGCCACTCATACTAAGAGGGTGTTGGAGTGATGTTGTTGACCTAACAGTCCCAGAAATATTTGAGATAAAAAACTTGTCATATTAAGAGAGTATTTTCAAAGCCAATTCTAGGTAGGCTTAAAGATAAATAATTTTATAGCTGTTGTGGACTGAGTATAATGCCTTAAAACGATTCCTTTTTTTTTTTTTTTTGGAAAGCCCTTCATTAATTATTTTCCAAACTAGCTTTAATAAATATATGCTCTATCCACACAGTCAGCCAGTGATTCTCAACAAGGGTATTGTTGCAGCTGGGGGTGTTGTCAGATCCTTTGAAAAGTGCCACAAAGTGTGAAAAGATAAGCAGGGAAGGTTCTTTGGGTAGATGTTATATCTTTTATTAGGCCAACTAAATGTGACAGCTAATACAAGATACCACATCTACCCAAAGAGCCTTGAGACCAACAGGGCTACAACCAACAGCCCTGCAACATGCAAGAGATAAGCAGGTGTGAGGAGATAAGCACAGGGTTAGGCTTCTCCCTGCCCATCTGCTTCCCTGTTCCTACTTACTACCTGGCCCCTTGGCAAGGAGTAAGCACTTTAATAAATATGTTTGTTTTTTAAATGGAGTGGCCCTCGGTTCACAGAAGTTATGGAGGAGTACCTCAAATCTGAAAACATTGAGAGCCACTGCTGCAAGCAAAGTAGCAATATCCACGGGGATACATTTTTCTGTCCTATTTAGTTTTGGCTTCTTGAGGCTACCAAGAAGAGTGACAGTTTTGATTTGAGCAGACGCCACTCATTCCTTTCATGCTGCCCATTTGAACACTTGCCTGATGGTAATATCTTCCAGTTGTACCTATCTAGGTGGAATTTCAATTAGAAATGCTAGGAAACACCTTATGTGAACACCCAGTGCCTTAGGAAAGTGAGTTTCGTGACAGGTTTATGTGTTACTAGTTTACCTTAAGTAAGTACAGATAGTAGCCAGAGAAGGAAAAATGTTGGATGGGTAGTGGTTAGGGTTTCTCTCTTGTCGTAGTACCTGGATACCACAATAACTAAGCCTAGTGATACTCCAGAAAAAGGGATATATGATGCAGTTGTATCTAATATATCCTGGTTGCTGATTTTTTTTTTTTAAAATAGGTGTTTTATTAAATGAAAAAATGCATTTACAATAAATTTTCATTGAGAGCACTTTATGCAGCACTTAAACACTCAGGGATGGTTGCCCTTCCTCCTCTTCAATTATGCAGTTTTGGTGAATTATAAGCAGTTATAGTTTTCTAATTAAACTTATACGGATCATAAGGCAGATGCATCTTATTGAGAATGGTAGACTATAAAGAATAACTGTTTTTGTTTAAACAATGGCATAGCATAGAAAGCCATAGGGGAAGTTTATGAACAGAAATTCTGGTGTAAAGCTGAACTTGATGTTGTTCATGAAGTAGGACGTTTTGTTTTGTTTTATTCTGGTTGCTATGAAATATGTTAATGTTACAGCATGGGCTTTTCAACAATGTGTGCTCAATGGAATCTGCTTTGTTTGGAAGAATGTTTGTGGAGATCTTGGGCCCATTTTCCAAGACTATCAGAGTCTGAACTGGTGCAATACCCATTTTGGGGGGGAAAAGAAATAGATAATTTTATTTTGAAAATTTGGTATTTATTTATTTATTTATTTCAAGTTAAATAATACATATTTGCTATATTTTAAGTTACATTGTGGATATTTTTGTTAGAGATTGTTAGTTGTTTTATTATGGATAAATCAAGGAAACCTAAATCTCAAATCACCTTTCAAATGAATTGTTTTTCTCTTGGTTTGAAAATTGGTTTTTACTATCTTTTAATAAGTGAGCCCACTCTAGAATTCTACATGGACTTTCTGACATTCCCCTCATTAAGAAATAGAGTAGGGTTGAATAGTTGAAATATAAGGCACTGTAAATAAACATCACTTTTAAATATTATCTAATGTTCTACATGTTTCTTCGTTTTTATCTTTTTTATACAAAGCCAAATTCTGTTACTCTGCTTATCATGGGGAATATCTTACTCTATGAGTAGTTGTGCTTACAATCATTCTATTAGTTAACAAAATCAGGGCTATTCATAGAGTAAAATATTAGTTGATACTAACAATAGGGACAGAACATTTAATGTTTAGTATGAACATATAACTACATCTCTACTTTTTCTAATACTGTTTGGACCCATATTTATCAGGCTTCAAACCCATCACCCTTCAAACCTGGCCCACTTGTCCTAACACTAACAAACTATTTGAGTGCATCCAGATGAGTATGCATGTGCGTTTCCCCAGGGACAAATAGCAGCAGCACATAGTTGTGCCACTGCTGCTTGTCCCCTGAGAACACCTGTGCATGCACCCTCTGGTGTGTGGCAAGTTGCACCAGGTGGGGTAGGGGAGGCTTGGGCCAGCACCCAGGCTGGCCTTGGCAACTGTACCTGGAGTCCTGGGGGCCTCTTTAGCCTCCAGCCATGGTGATCCGGATTTGCGGAGCCTGGCTGGCAGCTGGTGTGTGGCTCCAGCTGGCTAGGCTCTGGTTTCAGGTGATGCATGCTGCCACCATGTGTGCTCCCCTCATTTTTCTGCCATGGGTTTTTTTTGACACTGGGCTCTCCCAGTGTCAAAAAAATCCTGCTGCACTATAAATTAGCAGTGTGGCAAATGCCTACATGCACAGCCAATGCCTACAAACTGCATGTGTGCATTTGCCTGAATGCACCCTTTCAGTCCAAAAGTCCTGGGACTTGACCCCAGATTCCCAGATTCTTATTTTGGTTCCCAATGGGCCATTCTGCTTTCTTGAGCTTAGGTGTATCCTTCCAAACCCTCTCAGCAGCAGTGGCAGAAGAGTCTAGGAATTCATTTCTTGGATCCCACTGTACATTTTGAGGAGATGCTAACAGTAGCTGCTCTACTGATAGGGTTGTCTACATAAGGAGTTATTCCCAATTGACACCATGTATGGAAAACTCAGTCCACTTTCAGGGTGACTTGTTCCTATTTAGCTTAAATGACAAATCTGAAAAATCTTGGGCATCAGATTTCTTTTTTTCAGGAGGCAGGGGCAGGGAGGGATCTTCAGACTAGGTCTCTGTCAAGTGAGGCATGTTCTCAGTATTTTGTAGGCAAGATTAATCATATTAAGGATGGGCTGTCTGCATCTGTTGTAGAAGAATAAGGTCTTGAGGGAACAAGGACCTAATTTTTTCTGCTAGAGTTCCAGAGAGTGATGCTCTCTAGGATGCTGAAAATACTGAAAGAATTTTAGGATCCAGTTATCTTTGCTTTGGATCCATGTCCCTCCTGGCTGGTGATGGTCACTGAAGAAGTGTTAGGTCTGTTGCTTGGGGAGAACATCCCCTAAACCCTTCATAAAACAAACTGTCCATTGCGTTGAAGGAAGCAATAATGCAGCCCTTGCTGGATGCTGCCAGACTTGATATATAAGGATCAATATCACATCTTTTTTTACTTTCCCTTGTGGAGTAGGACAACTCTCACATTATCCAGATGCCTCCTGTCTCCTTGAGCCTTGCCAGTCTGTGCACAGATGTGGTTTAGGCACAGAAACTGTATTGTCTGCATTAGTCCCGGGCTGTCCAATGCACATTTCATGGGCAATGATCCTGCTGATTGTGTTGCCAGCACACAAACCCTCCATCCCAGCTATGTGGATTGTGCCAACAGAAGCAGACCCCCACTGTGCAGACTGCATAGACACTGGCAAGTGCCCCAAGTCCTTTCCTGCAGTGGGAGAAGTGGCCATGGGGGCCCATGGGCTGAATGTTAACTGCTTACAGGTTACATGTAGCCCATGGG